ATCTCCATGCAAACAGTCTCCATGACAACATGCAATCGGCCTACCGCATGGGACACTCTACTGAGACGGCCCTCCTACGTGTACATAGTGATATAGCTTCTGCATTGGATAACAAGTGCAGAGCGGTACTTGTCATGCTGGACTTGTCAGCTGCATTTGACGTCATCTACCATGGCATACTTTATAAACGTCAGGAATACTCTTATGGAGTGACAGATACCGCACTATGCTGGATACAGTCATACCTGAGTGAACGACGACAGTGTGTTGCCATCGGATCTGCCACCTCACATGACAAAGTACTAGATTTCGGGGTTCCTCAAGGGTCGGTGTTAGGACCACGAAAATATTGTATGTACTCCAAACCGATTGGAGAGATTTGTCGTCGCCATAGCCTTCGCTATCATTGCTATGCTGATGACACACAAATTTACATGGTCATAAAACCACAGGACAGTTGGAATACAGTCTCAGAAAGTCTGGAAGCTTGTCTGACAGATATCAGTATCTGGATGAACGCCAACATGCTTAAACTTAATCAGGAAAAGACGGAACTAATCGTCTTTTCCCCAAAGTGTCAGCAAACAATGGCTCTCCAGCTCAAGGTTGGTGCCAGAACTATTGAGACTGTTCCAGCTGTTAAAAACCTAGGGGTATACTTTGACAGTTCTCTGAACATGGAGAAACAAGTGAACGCTATTGCCAAATCCTGTTACTACCAGATCAGGAACATCGGCTGTATTCGGCAGTTTCTAACTGCAGATGCATGCAAGATTTTGGTGCATTCACTTGTTACCTCTCGGTTGGATTATGGTAACGCCCTGCTCTGTGGTATATCTGACAAACTAACTAGTCGTCTGCAGAGGGTTCAGAACACTGCAGCACGGCTAGTTACTCGTACTCGAAAGAGAGAGCACATCACACCTGCGCTTTATTCGTTGCACTGGTTACCTGTACGATACAGGTCGCAGTACAAAATTCTGGTATACACATACAAGGCACTGAATGGAACAGCTCCTCAGTACCTACAGGAACTTGTTACCCTGTATCAGCCGTCAAGATCACTGCGGTCGGAGTCAGAATCTTTGTTGTGTGTCCCAAAATCTCGTACTGTGACCTACGGAAACAGATGCTTTGGGAGGGTTTCGGCTACGTTGTGGAATAGCTTACCATCTGCTATTAGGAAGTCAAATACCCTGGCCAAGTTCAAGAGGGACATAAACACTCACCTCTTCACGTCTGCATTTTAGAATCTTTGCAATGACGTCATGTAAATACCACCCTTTTATTTGTTCAATTATGTGCATATTGCTTGTTAAATGTATGAAAGTGATTGCAAGCCTTTGTTGTTTGTTTTCACAATTATAACCATTACTATAACCCATATGTTGTAAAGCGCCTTAGAATAATTTTACAAATTATATAGGGCGCTATATTAATGTTGTATATTATTATTATTATTATTATTATTATTATTATCATAGCTTTCTATACTATTTAACCTGTACAGATACTGTATAAAGGGGGTGGTATTGCTTAATCTTCTATTGAACCTGGACAGATACTGTATAAAGGGGGTGGTATTGGGTAATCTTCTATTGAACCTGTACAGATACTGTATAAAGGGGGTGGTATTGGTTAATCTTCTATTGAACCTGTACAGTTACTTAATACAGGAGGTGGTACTGCTTAATCTTCTATTGAACCTGTACAGATACAGTATAAAGGGGGTGGTATTGCTTAATCTTCTATTGAACCTGTACAGATACTGTATACAGGAGGTGGTATTGCTTAATCTTCTATTTAACCTGTACAGATACTTTATACAGGAGGTGGTACTGCTTAATCTTCTATTGAACCTGTACAGATACTTTATAAAGGGGGTGGTATTGCTTAATCTTCTATTGAACCTGTACAGATACTTTATACAGGAGGTGGTACTGCTTAATCTTCTTTTGAACCTGTACAGATACTGTATACAGGAGGTGGTATTGCTTAATCTTCTATTGAACCTGTACAGATACTTTATACAGGAGGTGGTACTGCTTAATCTTCTTTTGAACCTGTACATATATTTTACACAAGAGGTTGCATAGATTACACTGTGTTTGAACCTATACAGATACTGTACGCTTTAGATAACATAGCTCACTCTGCTATGGAACCTATACAGAGACTTTACACTGTAGGTGACATAGCTTACTCTACTATTGAACCTATTCAGAGACTTTACACTTTAGGTTACATAGATGTCTCTACTATTGAACCTATACAGAGACTTTACACTGTAGATGACATAGCTTACTCTACTATTAAACCTATACAGAGACTTTACACTGTAGGTAACAAAGCTTTCTCTAATATTGAACCTATACAGATATTTTACAATGTAGGTTGCATAGCTTACTCTCCTTTTGAACTTATACCGATACTTTACACTGTAGGGGACATAGCTTACTCTACTATTGAACCTTTACAGAGACTTTAGACTGTAGGTGACATAGCTTACTCTAGTATTGAACCTATGCATAGACTTTACACTGTAGGTGACATAACTTACTCTATTATTGAACCTTTACAGAGACTTTACACTGTAGGTTGCTTATATGTCTCTACTATTAAACCTATACAGAGACTTTACCATGCTGGTGACATAGCTTACTCTACTATTGAACCTATACAGAGACTTAACAATGTAGGTGACATAGCTTTCTCTACTATTAAACCTTAACCGAGATTTTACACTGTAGGTTGCTTATATGTCTCTACTATTAAACCTATACAGAGACTTTACACTGTAGGTTGCTTATATGTCTCTACTATTAAACCTTAACCGAGATTTTACACTGTAGGTTGCAGTTTTCTCTACTATTAAACCTATACAGAGACTTTACAATGTAGGTTACATAGCTTACTCGACTATTGAACCTATACAGAGACTTAACAATGCTTGTGACATAGCTTACTCTGCTATGGAACCTATACAGAGACTTAACAAAGTAGGTGACATAGCTTACTCTGCTATGGAACCTATACAGAGACTTTACCATGCTGGTGACATAGCTTACTCTGCTATGGAACCTATACAGAGACTTTACAATGTAGGTTACATAGCTTACTCGACTATTGAACCTATACAGCGACTTTAAATTTTAGGCGACATAGCTTTCTCTACTATTGAACCTATCCAGAGACTTTACACTGTAGGTTGCTTATATGTCTCTACTATAAAACCTATACAGAGACTTTACACTGTAGGTTGCTTATATGTCTCTACTATTAAACCTTAACATAGATTTTACACTGTAGGTTGCTTATATGTCTCTACTATAAAACCTATACAGAGACTTTACAATGTAGGTTACATAGCTTACTCTACTATTGAACCTATACAGAGACTTTGCACTGAAGGTGACATAGCTTAATCTACTATTGAACCCATACAGAGTTTTTACATTGTAGATTGCATAGCTTTCTCTCCTTTTGAACTTATATAGACTCTTTACATTGTACATGGAAACAAAAGAACGATCTGACAGTTGGTGCAGAGATAGAAGGCAAGGGACGCCTTGGCAATTGTACATTTATAAAGGTAGATACAGTAACAGGTATCATAGACACAACTTTACAATTCATCATTACAAATAATCAATAGGCGACAAGGCTACAGTCCTGACTATTCTTAAGAGATAATAGTTCAAGTGGCATTCTAGCACTTCTATCCTTCACACAACTTTTCAGGCGCAAAACAGAATGCATATAGCCTACTAGTTGACCATAAAATCCCTCACAAATCAACAATGCATAAAACTATAAAAACAATACAGTTTGAATGGAATACAACTTGTGCATGTGTGAAATATTCATGATAAGTAGCTTTAAGTGTTATTGATGCGATTTCTTACTGAACAAAAATACGTGCTTAGTTAATTGATGTATGTAAAATGAATTTTAACGTTTTTCTTTAAATTGAAATAATTCATACATACAACTGTACTTTCCATTTACATAAACTCCCTACTCAGATTTACATTCATGCCTATTGAAAAGAGATAATAACGATACGCATGCTTTCTTCTTTAAAAAAGTGAGATTCATGTCTAAGTATGTGATATATGTTAAAAACCGTTAACGACAATGCTGAAAACTTCACGCGGGTTATGAACAAATCATTGAACATATCATAACTAGCAGGATAAGTCCATCCTATCTTCGGACCAGAATTCTTTACGTATAATAACAAAGAGCCATCCTATCATCTGAACAGTATTCGGTGCCCCAACGTTTATTAACACAGAGCTATCCTATCGCCAGACTGGTATGTCGTTTCCTAACCTATAATACACAAGAGCTATCCTATCGTCAAACCAGTATTTGGCGTCCCAATGTATAATAACAAAGCGCTATCCCATCACTGGACCAGTGTGCGGTGTCCACACGAATAATAACAAAACGGCGCCTGTCTGTATCTGATAACAGGGACACAATTATACAGCATAAAACATACATTTTGGTAGGCAGTAACGACCAGAGACATTGAAGCTTTTTTTCTGCATCAAAATATTTCTAACGTTTGGCTCTAAAATTGAGCTTTCAGTGGTCTATTGCAATGGTCTACCAACAAAATACCACATCAATAAAGAATAAGATAAAACAGACTACCAATTTTGGACAAACCTAGCACAGAATCCCTGTTAAGGTTTTCGATTCTTGCGTGCAGAAATACATCCGATTGAAAGAAAATTTCAGTCGTAACTCTGGTTTCATTTCAATAGATTGAGGTTGACATTTCAACAACAGAAGAATAAAAAAGCTTAAGTAACTGCAAACAATTTCTGCGACCCTGTCAATAGACTGATTTGGTTTGGGCCAATAACTCGGAGAAATGTATGGTAGTAAGCGTTCACGTCAATCTCAACATGTGTGTTGTTTGACCGTTTGTTGGCCAGTGGAGGGAAAGCGCTGGTAGAACCCCCAAAACGTTCACAACGGGCACTTACCGGTAAATATCAGCGTACAAAAGGAGTAGAAAGGCTGTCACCCTCCCAAACATTTCCATGACATCCTGCAAATCCACCTGACGCACCACCATCGTCTGTAACTGAGAGAAACGCTATACGTCGTCTGCTTCTGCTGCAAAACCATTTTACCGCGCACGCGCATTGTTTTCTTTTCTTCGACGCCAGAGACAACGTGTGCTGTATGTAGCGTGGTGTGACGGGAATCAATCGGGAGTCATGTTTGTTGTCAATATCGATTAGTAGGCCAATGAATTTCTCATGTTGGCTATCAAAAGAATTCATAGATCATACACTGATTTTTACCAACATATCAAGAAATGATATTTTTGTTAAATAGGTATTGGTATGAGGGATGACAGGTCCTTTTTGGCTGACAAGTTGTCGATCCGTTCCAAGTATTGTTTTCCCGTTTCTCATGTTAATGCTGTGTCGGGTCGTGTTAAGAGCTAGACATACACAGATCTATCGTCTCATAGCCATGCAATACCTTCATTGACGTCCCAGCAAAACCTTCATTACACACCGTGAACCATTTCTATAACAGAAAAATTAGCTTCCGAGCACTATGATATGGTTTTATCAATGGAATTGTGAAATAAGATGTATACATCTTACCCAAAATTAGTTTAATTTTAATCTTTGACATTTACATTCAGATAACCATGAAACTGAAAACAAGACAACCGTATTTGTTTATATAAACTTACCCTAAACATAATATACATAGGTAATCATATTTATTTACAAAAATTAAAACATGTTAAATTTTTAAGTTTTGACACTTGGATTCAGGTATGCTTTGTTCTGCTTTGTTCTGGTGAAGACTATTTGCCATAAATGTTCCAAACATTACGTTCCGGGTTACTTTTTGTTAAGTGTACAACATCTCAGACATATATACTGCTTCTATGTTTCCAACACACTCAATACTTAAAACGTATACAGAATAAGCTACTATTGGATTTTACAAATTATGGTGTAAACCAAACAAACGTTGTATTTAAAACTTATTTTCAAGTCATTATGTGTGAAAAAAGTGTCCATAAAAAAATAACGTCCATATATTTGATTTGATCGCATTCTATTGTATCGGCGCAATCTTATTGCTGCTGCGATACGTGTTGCTTATATGATTTGAATATGGATATTCGTTTTACCTATTTTTTGCGATAAGTTTAAAAGAAATTACGAAAAAATTCTGCTCACAATTTATTTATCTATACTTTGCAGATAACATATTATCAGTGAGTGCGTGATGTTAAGTTTTGGTATGTACCCCACCCAATACGTTATATCTCGCTTCCACTGTGTCTTAGTTGGTACATATAAATGCAACATAAAGATATCTTTCTAGCTAAAAAATGATACAATACGTTGAAATAAAATATTTACATCATATAACACATGGAACGAGACATAACGACAGTGCAGAACGTGTTGTTAGTGCTTCACAGAAACCATTATAATATGCAGTATATCATATATGAACGATTACTGTGTACTTTCATTCAGCGGAAAACGACGTTTATGGAAACATGTACTTTACAAATCCTTATAGTCTTTTGTGATTTAAGGTATTGAGCTGCTTATCTATTCGAACTACATATAGACCGTAGCTATACACTATGTAGTCGGGGAACCTGATAAGGTCAGGTAGTCTACGTCATGTCTTTAATAACTACCTCTAACAATGATAGGGTAAATAAGACGAGACCAGTTTTGACGGCGTTGTGTTATTAAAGATAAACCGCAAACCAGTCTGTCCTAGCCATTCCATTGCGATGTTAGACATACACATTTGGGGTCTGTAATGTATGTGTTTTGTGTCATACTGCCATCGCCGTAGACAATTGACTTGGATATCAAATATACGCCACGCATATGGTCTACCATGGACAGCATGGAAATCAGAAAACAACACAGCTGTGTGTAAAGATATTCATTTATTCTATTGCTTTCGTTGTAACATTGGGAATTATGACTGGTCTGTTGCATTGCTGAGGTAATACTGTATGACACTCGCCGAAACATAAGAGGGGATGATCTCGTAACTCTCCCCCCATCCCATTAACAGACGTGCTAACATACCGAACTGTCCCTCCGGCATGTCTTCTCAAATAGGCGATACTGTACTTGAAGATAGTCAAATGGTGGTATTAGCATATATCTGGAGACACCAAAGCAATGTTAGATTTACCAGACATCAGAGATTAGATACAGGCTGCCATCCTGTTTCATTGTTGTAAATAAGGGTGTTGTTATTCAATGATATACAGGGCATTTTTGATATTTTCAAAAACATTCCGGAGACGCCACTGACAGATCGAATTAACGTTGTAAACGAACGTTATAAATCCCTCAGAGCACCTCCTTACGTCACACTGTTATCTCCATATATAAGATGTTTTATTGTAGAAGAGCTAGGGCCCGGAGATATGTGACTCGCTTCATATTATGAAGGTTTAATGTTAAGTATTTTATGTTTATTGCAGTTAACAAAATAGTAACAAATTCCATCAAAAATGGTAACATAGGTGAATGAATTATCAGGCCTTTAAGGTTTCTCACGTTACATCAATATTCCTAGCACGCCATGGAAACATTGACATAAACACGGCGACATCATCTACTTGCACCACATGGGGTAATTCTGCCGAAGTGCTTTGGATAATCAGTGCGTCTTGTTGCTTTTAGTAATCCTTTCATCTCCACCTAGGCTTTCTAATATTCGGCCATTATTGGTCTTTTATCTGGTATGTCAATGTGAGCTTCATAGCGTTAATTCAGGACTGAACAGTGCATGCCACGACTTCAGACATTTTATGTCTAAATATCAGGTTTTGCTTGATATGTTCAGAAAGCGTATCAAAATATATATAACAGCGTATATTAAGCCTGCTGTTTGCTTGTTATACTCGAATAGGTACGAAAACGATACGGTCGCATAACATACATATTTATTGAATTATAACATGAGAGCAAGGCTGTGAAAAGATACGAAAACAAATAAGACCAAATGTCATCATTTAAAGACAGAACATATATTAGAAACCTTAAAAACCAGAACAGAAGCCGTAGACACCAGAAGAGCAGGAACACTTTCGCCCACAACATAGAGCAAACGACGATTTCCGATATATGAGTAACATTTCTTTTGCCTGATGCTTAATGAAGGAAAACATATTTGTTTAGGGTAGACAGAAAACCATTTATATGTAAAGTGTTTGTCAACAAGACCAACCATTCTTACAAACGACTACGATGCCATTTGTCCTTTATCTGTCTTTAAGAGCTTGAAATCAAAGACACACCTCACTCACAAAACCACTTCGTTATCTCAGTATTAACGTTCGAGTCACCTTCACTGTTTGGTCACAATGCTCCGATATTCATGGTTCGGCTGTTTGTATCAGTTATTGCTTAGCTACCGTTTTATAACCATAATGATGGCATAATGTAACTACGAAAGTCGATCTAAACCCCTAAAACATGTAAAATTACTTTGAACACCTTAGTTTAGGTCCAAATATAGCTGTAACAAATTTGCAGGTCCCTGTGATTTAGTGGAGGTAGGATGGGGACACTCAGGCACATGTCGAGGCCCTTGCTGACCTGACCGTGTTCTAGTTTTGTCATGTTGTATGCTTCATTGTATTACAATTATTTTTGATGATAATTGGCCTTATTCTCCCGAATTCCACCTAAGTATGTGAATCGACACCTAATGTTAAGAAACACTATATTGAATAGGTAATTCTAGCAGAGATGTTTGTAAACATCTGGTAACGAGTATTGTTTATCTGAACGTGACTTCATGATTGGTGTCACTGTTGGCGCAGGAAACCCCAAACTAGAGCACTGCTAAGATGTGTCTGTATCAGCCCCTGACGTCTTCTGTGTTTGTGTGTCCATCGATGCTGTCTTTCAGTAGCGACGTTGAGGTCGTCAACAGGTGTATACGTTTTTTCTGTTTTACATTTGAACAAGCCTAAGAGTACATCTACAGGCACACAATGCTGGTATTTATATATCGACAGAGGAGGAAACGTTATGATCGTCGACGAAAAGTTACAACTCGTAGCAGAGCATCTGAAGGTTAGGAGACCATGGTTTTGTAGGTAAACACTAAAGACGATTCTGTTAGGCGATTGACATCCGGTTGTGGAGAAGAAAATACATAAACCTGGCTTAAAAGAATCATATAACCGATGATAAAATATTCTTTTATTTTCAGAATTTTTCAAAAAGTGTTTAACGTTTTTATGAAGAACAAACAATGTGCACTTGATCTCATATAGCGTTAGCAAACTAATAACTAAATGAAATCTGATCATGACTGTCCAATCACTATTTGACTAAAGATGAAGTCGAAATGTATTGGCAATATCTGTTATTGTGACGTCATGATTACGTACGCGTCATGCGAGCTAAATATCTTGCGCTGCATCCACATACACTTAAACTCGGCGAATGTGATCTTACATATTATTGTATTCGATTAACCAGCAAAATTGTACGCATGTAATTTCTTTATTTTCACCGTATATTGATTATATGTGCAGCCATCTGAAAATTTGAAACAGGTTCAGAAGACGCAGTAAAATATTAATTTTTGAACACAATAAACAAAAGCGAATCAATTTCGCCAAATAAAGCTGACAGTGTAGGAGGTATTCAGGAGAAAGCACGGCGAGGTTTCGCGCTCATTTAAACGTCGTGAATCTTGATGGAATAATAGACTGATGAAAGGCTACAATTTAAAGTTGTCATTTGAAATCATTACTTGGGATCACGGCATCTGTTGTCTTCAGTCGTTACTGTCTCATAGAATGCCATACTGCCTAAGTTACCGATCCTCGGCGGAGAGCGTACCACACAGCAGTACCTGATTTATGGGCTTAGAGTTGGAGTCTTCGTGCGATGTTGATTGATGTTATATTACTTGGAGTATACTTTTAGTAGGTAATATATCACATCCCACCTATCTGTAAAAAGGAACAACAAAACACACTGTTCCGTACATGGATAATAAAACGAATATTCAGACTAAAAGTAGAACAGTTCAAGTCATGGTGTATTTTATCTCTAAATCTTTAGAA